ACTATGCCCTCTGTTAGATCCCAGGGTCCCCTATTGCTAAATTATCCTTTAGTTGATTCCTTCTAAGCCTCACTTTCTTCATCTATAAAATGGAAGTAAATGTAAATTCACAGGATCTCCAGTAAGCTTCTTGGTTGGAAGGAATTTATAAACCATGAAGTGATATGTGTGTGTGTGTATACAATTGTAAGACTCTATGCCAGAAGATTAAAAGAGGTTATCCCCAGATAGAAGGGTCATAGGTAGGGTTTACAGATAAAATAAAAAATACCTACTTAAATTTGAATTTCAGGTAAACAATGAATAATAGTATTTTAGAATATCTCAGGCAATATTTGGGAAACACTTGTACTAAAAAATTCATTTTTTTACACTTGCAAAATATAGGGTGGGGCAAAAGTAGGTTTACAATTGTGAGTACACAAAACACAGAGTTTATTCCTATATTATCCTTTATTCATTTTTGTATTATTTTTCATAAGAACTATAAACCTACTTTTGCCTTCCCCTGTATTTTTAGTTCCTAATTCTATACTTTTATTGGCTATATCTGGGTAGCCTTGTAATAGATTTTTTTTCTTATCTGTATTTTTTTAAAGTTTCTGTGATATGTAAAATGCTGGCAATGAGAAGAAATAAAAATGGAGTTTTTTTAAACTGCTCTAGTTAGGAAGAAGCATACCAGTGAACAAGTGATGTGCTTGCCCTTCTTTCATTACAGGCTTTCCTTACTCAAACTCTGGTAATGGGCCAGGAGCAGCAGCCTCATCTGGGAGCATGTCAGAAATGCAGGCACTCAAACCCCACCCCAACACACTAAATCGGAGTCAAATCTTAACACAATTCCAGGAGACTTCAGTGAGAAGCTTGCTCTAGGGAACTCAACAAAAACCTGTCTTCAAAACAGCTGAGTCCCTTAAGAGAGAGAAAAAATCCTCACCAGGAGTGGAAGGAGAGCCCTGGCCCGTTTGGCTCAGTGGTTAGAGCGTAGGCCTGCGGGCTGAAGGGCCTCAGCTTTGATTCTGGTGCCTCAGTTGCAGGCCCAATCCCTGGACCCAGTCGGGGTGCGCGCGGGAGGCAACCAATCGATGTGTCTCTCACCTGATGTTTCTCTTTCTCTCTCTTCCACTCTCTCTGAAAAGCAATGGATATTCCTCGGGTGAGGGTTTAAAACAACCAAAGGAGTGGAAGGAGAATGTGAGACTGACCTGAAGCCAGGAACATCAGTGAGAGGAGAGGCCTCCGGGACAGGAGCCCCAGGCCATCGGTCTGGCCATGCCCCCGGGGCCCTGCACAGAGCCGCGCAGTCACTAAAGCCTCTGGGAGACCAGGCAGGCGGGGACTGTGAGCACGGTGCCCCTGGGGCTCCGCAGCAGAGCGGCCCTGATCCAGCTCCGACAGGCAGAGGACACTAGTGCAGAAGGCAGATGAAAGGATGGGGTTTTTGGTGGTGTTTTGGAGGGCATGGGTTTTTACTGATTCGTAATTTGTTTTGTTTTATTTGGGCAAGGGGACTGATGGGTGTTTTTGGGTTTCGTTGGTTTTTTTTTCAACTTGAATCTGTCAGTGCTGGTGAACAATCAGTTAAACAGGTAAGATCTACTCTAGATTATTCAAATCCCCCTTTTAATGAATCCTAAATGTTCATATTTAATAAACACGAACAAATTTGGTCAGCTACCAAATGCCTCAAGTTATCTCACAATCAGCAGCAGACCCCCCTTTGTACCAGCATTCCAGCCACACTTTGGAAACCCAGAGGCCGTGCGAAAAAGAAGCATGATGTCACAGCTCAATCTTCTGCAATACCCAAATTTGTTTCAGAGAACGAGCCAAAAACGCAGGACAAACATGCTGGTGGCTGTCCCCCTCTCGCCGGAGCACTTCTTTGAGGGCCACCTCCATCCCATCCCTTCTTCCCCCCATTACCCTGTATGGGCCTCAGAGCACAGACCACTAGCCAAGTGTGTACCATGGGTTTTGCAGCTGCTGCTACTATTCATTTATTCCTTTATTATCCGTTTCTCTCACTAGAATATAAATTCTGTGAGAGCAGGCCTTTCACAGGACTCGTTCGTGAGTGTGCTCCCAGTGCCTAGACAAAGCCTGGCGCCCGAGAGGCGCTATGTAAAATCTGTAGGAAAATGAATAAAGATAGATCATCCTGCAGTTAATAATACACAGTGTTCTCTCCAGTCATGTTTATTAATTTTATATTTTTCCATCTGTCAATCACAGGCTTGAATTTTAGTCAAATATCTTGAATATATTCCACTTAGATTACGGCTGGTTTTGTTCTGTAGCTCAAAGGAGCAACTTTTCTAATAATAACCCTGACACCATTTCAGGCTCTAAGTAAATTGCTTCTTCCTATGATGCATCTGCTTCTCGCTTTCATCAGCTGCAGGGATATTCTGACCTCCCTGTGCTGCAGTCTCGAAGAAAGGCAGAGGGAGAGTTCTGGAAAACAGTTGTTTTTCTCTTCTTTACAGAAAAGAACTTGCGATCAAAGAATGGAGCACACACGCGTGCGCACACACACACACACACACACACACACACTCCAGCCTTTCTAAATGTTCTGCAAAGAGGCAAGGACATTCCTGGGGCTGTGTGGGGAGAGCCCGATGCAGTCTCACAGCACTCCCAGGCCTGACTTCACAGGCAACACTCCGGCTGAATGGAAAAGGGAACAGACTGTGGGAAGGCAGGAAGGTTTCCAGAGATACAGGACGAGTGACAGGAAATCCATCAATCAGCACACGCGAAACTCAGGTAGGGTTCGAAACAACTGCTGGTTGCACTCAGTCTCCCAATGAAATCTTGGGCACCTCCATTAACCTCTTTCTGCCACATTCTCATCACTTATAAATTGGGTACAACAATCTATCCATCTAGCGGAGACTGCACGGGGATTTGGTGATAAATGAGAGCAGACAGCTCTGTGTGTGATACCTAATCATATTATATTAACTAGCACGAAATCACGGGGCTACAAGGACTCAATAGGTCGATCTAGTCCTCTCACCCGGGACCACAATTAAGCCATTCCAGAGGGATTAGACTCTAATCTTTTTTAAATTTCTGTATAAAGAAATTCCCAACACCCCTTTGTCAGTTAGTGATGACGTAATCCGGCAGCCCTAGCACACGCGCCTCTGCCCTTCGGCAGCCACGTGCAACGGCATCCTGGTCTAGAGCACGGGTACTGGGGTCAGGCCGACTTATGTCCCCCTGGGCTCCACTATGTGCTGGCGACTTCACTGTGAGCAAGTTACAGCCTTAACTTCCTCAAGCCTCCGTTTCTTCTCCTCTAGTGGTGTCACTGGCCCCATACGGTTGGCATCAGGACCGAGTGAGCAAACGAGTACAGCATTTTCCACGTTGCCTGGCTCATGATTTGTGTACCAAATACCAGTAACATGATTTCCTGGATGAATAACTCTGGACGCTATAATTTTTATTTACAACATAACTTATTAAAATGTTAATCATTTCATTTTTATAATAGTGCTCAAAACTGTAGAAAGAAGCTAAGTATGTGGAGCAGCCTGGGAAGATTTCTTCTCGATTTTTCCTGGGATCAGAGGGGAGGCTGTGTGATATGCCCTGGGGAGACACTGGCACTCTCAGCAGCAACAGAGATTTCCAAATTTCACAAGTGGCTATGGAAACAGAGCAAGGGACCACAGAGAATTGGGGCAATGCATCCATGGGCAACAACCAGGATGTCTGGAGAGTAGTGACCCCCAATTTTTAGGTACCACTGTAAACCCCCCTGAAGCCCTGGTGCTTCCCAGGGAGCAGGAAGTTACCCCTACAGTGTTCCTGAACACCTGAGTTTTTGGCTGAGGTTTATAGCAATTGAGCATGGGGGTTTCACAATTTACCACACCCTTCACACTCCTAACCTCCTTAGGCCCTGGTAAAAAGCCAGTGTGAAAGAAAATTATCCCCCTTCTAATGCAGTGAACGCCAAGGCTCAGAGAGCTTAAGTGTCCTGCCTGGGGTCTCTGTATTCCAATTCTGCACAGTTCCTATTCTGCCATATGACTCACTGCATCCAAGATCTTTTAGCCTGACCTTGAAATCCAGCATTTCCATGTGAGGGTACAGTCCAATGTGAAAGGGAAGCCACTTTTATAAGTGGGCCTGTAGGATACAAAATTGCATCTGCAGCATGTTTAGAGTTATGGTGCAAAAATAAAAATTCAAAGCTATGCAGAGAAAAAGTCCTCAGATATATTACAGCAAAATGTTAAAGGCAAGTGGGTTTAGGTGGTAGGTGGTAGGCAGATTAATTGTCTACTTTTTTTTTTTACATTCAAAATTTTGTTTAATGGCACACATTATGTTTACAAGTGGGAAATATGAATAATTTTTTTCAGGTAGCTTGAGAGTCAAATAGTTTGTCCAACAGCAAGGCAGCTCCTTGTAGGAGCAGAGATAGAGGCCACCTTTACCTCCCAAGAAATTATATATATAATTCCCCCTTCCTCTCCTCAGCCACTCATAGATGACCTGGCCATTAAATCACATTATTTAGGATGGCATCAGTTTTCTATAGATGATATGACAAGGTAATCACAGGAATCACTTCTAAATTTTGACAGAAGTCCAGGTTTTGCCCTGAAGGAACCATTTCATATTCAGAATAGCAAATTAGAAGAAATAATAAATAGAATTCTACATGAGCACTGAGTCCTTCCTAGCTACTCATACGGGCTTCTGAAAGAATTCCTCTCTGGAACTTCTGAGTATAACTGTGGGGACAGTGGGGTAAAAGGAACCATCTCTTTCAGATCACCTATCACTCACAAAGGGAAGGAGGACATCAGTGGGGCCCCTCTTTGGCATATGTCAATCTTCTGCTCCATCCATGAGCATCCTGGAACCACTCTTATGTGAAAACACAGATCTTCCCGGGTGTGGTTCCACCTCACAGGATCTCTCAAGAAGCCCAGAGGCACCTAACATTTTCTCAAATCACGCTCACTCACCTTCACACAGCCCCGTGTTCTCCAAGTAAAACTGGGCTCTGCACTGGGGCAGACACTCGCCTGAGGTGACGTTTGCACCGGACAGCTGCTCAGCTTGCAGTCCTTCCACTGGCTGCTTACACTGGGTACACTGAGAGCGCTCAGGGCCCACACAAGTCAGACAAGAGGAATGACAGGCTGCCAACAGAAACAGAATGCAGAGGACAATCCAAGGATCATATATACATTGCAATAATGGGAGCCCATCATTAAATCAAAACCACTTAGAGAAGTTCACCAGATACATCCTTTCAGAATATTGTTTTTCTAGTGCGCTGTATAAAGAGCAGGGTGATAATAATAATATTTGTGAGGGACAAAGTGAGGGTGAGGTTAACTAGTCATATCTCTCAGGTCCTATAGGAACTGCCTAGCTAGATTAAAAAAATAAAACAAAACAAAAATAACAGCAAGCTGGGCAATACTGGCTCGGTTTTCCAGAGAAACACAGTCATTGAATGGCGATTTAATATTATATCCTCAGTTTTTATTGAAGATTTTAAGACACATTCACATAAAGGCCATTACTGTATTTTCTGCAAACATGGTCGCTGTGTTATTCATCACCCACTATACAGGGGTCCAGGCAACAAATTCCTTTTAGGGCTTATGTGAGGAAAGACTGCTTTTCTAAATAAGAAAGAGGCCTCTTTGAGCAGCCACCAGAATTTCATAGTCCATCACATTTTCTTGTTTTCCCTGGCTACTGGCGAGAATCAAAGCCAAATGGACTACATGGGTTATCTCAGGCCCACATTTTGATACAATTAGCTTTCCTGTTCTTTAAAAGACTCACTACACTTTCCTTTTCATAATATTTATTGCAGCTACCTGTTTTAAAAATGTTTTGCTTATAACTATTCAGAAGCTCTTTTCTAAGGTGCCGTGTGCATAAATAAATACAAGTTAATTTCACTTGCAGTGTTTGCTCCCAATGTTCTAGTTCCAAAAGGCTGAAAGATACTTCCCCCCCCCCAAGGAGCCCAGGGCCTTTTCTGGCAAACAGCTGTTTAAGATTTTCCATTTTACTCAGCCCAGAGGCATCGCTAGTGACTCTCAGTGTGTTTAGCAGTATCATTAACAAAGAGAGGTTCTTCAGGGAAAAACAAAACGAAGACTAAGAAAGACATTAGCAATGCTGGAAAAATAGAAAAGGAAGGAAACAGAGTGGTTTTAATGTACAGTAGAGGAAATGACATTCCTCTCAAGGACGGCCAGAAAAATCATGAATTTATGGGTATCTTCACATGATTTTTCAGCTTATCTCTTGGCAATGAAAAAAAGCATATAATGTATGCATAGTCATATGAGATACACTAGAGGAAAAGTTGAACTAAAAAGAAATTTAGGCCCTGGCTGGGTAGTTCAGTTGGTTAGAGTGTTGTCTTGATAAGTCAAGGTTGGGGGGTTGATGCCCGATCAGGGCACATACAAAAATCAATCAATGACCTTGGCCGGTGCTGCTCAGTGGTTTGAGCTCTGGCCCACGTACTGAAGGGTCACTGGTTAGATTCCTGATCAAGGGCACTTACCTGGGCTGCAGGTTTGATCCCAGGCCCCAGCTGCGGTGCGTGCGCAGGAGGCAATTGATGTCTCTCTCACATTGATGTTTCTCTTTCTCTCCCTCTCTCTCTTCCTCTCCCCCTCCCTTCCTCCCCTCCAGTCTCTCTAACAGTCAATAGAAAAAATATCCTCCAGGTAGGATTAAAAAAATAATTTTAAAAAAAAAAGAATCAACCAATGAATGTATAAACAAGTGGAAAAACAAGTCAGCGCTTCTCTCTCCCTCCCTCTCTCTAAAATCAATCTGTTAAAAAATTGTAACTTAAATCTATGTCTCAATGACGGGAAAGTCTCCTAAGAATAAGAATAACACCAACGATACCTTTGCAGACGCCGAGGTCAGGGTAGAAGCCCTCTCCACAGCTGGACAGGCAGTGGCCTTGGCGCAGAGCCTGGGGGTGGGCGCAGGCTGCACAGTGAGAGGCCGCGGGTCCAGAGCAGCTGGCACACGAGTGGTGGCAAACTGAGGAAGAGAGTGAGAGATGACCACAGTGGAGCCGAGGTGACTGAAGAGCACACGTTTTGGCCGGCTCCCTATGTGCCAGGAAGCCCTCTCCTCCGTCACCCTCAGTCCCGCCTCAGCTCTCACACCAAATACAAGAAAAGATGTGTTAGGAGGTGGTTCTATCACCAGAGCTGCCCACATTGCCCCATGACCCATCTTCTACCCACGTTCTATCTATTACTGACTAGCTATCCTTTACTTAATGTCTGTATTAAGTGTTTTATACACATTACCACTTTTAATCTTCATAGATAAGTAACATTATGAGGTCGGGATTATTAACCTCATTACAGATGAAGAAACTGAGGTCTTGGGAAGTTAAAAAATTTCCCTAAGACCACAGAGCTAATTAGTAGCAGGTCTGGAATGTAGCCGTAGGTCTGTCTGAACCTAAAATCCCCCACCTGAACAGGGATGAGTGGGACGTTCATAGGTCCGAGTGTTGGGAGCAGTTGAATTTTGACTATCGTGCCTAGTAGTTTATCTATGCCCTTCACCAAGTCTGGGTATCTGCAGGCCTAGTTTCCTTGGCATATGCACAGAGAGAGGTTGGACTAAATGGTCATTTAAGGTGCTTCCAGCTTGGATGTTCTGAGACTCTAAGTAAGAATTACATTTAAGAATCTGACCACTATATAGGACAATGTCAGACACACACATCCCCTCCTTTGGTCCTGGGTGGTAACAGTGGGCATCCCTGACTCTAAAGAGACAGATGGTACCATGGCTTGTCCTAAAGGACAGGAGTGAGATAGTGAAAGAGGCCTCCAGAGGACAATAGTCAGGAGCTGGGAGAAGGGAGAGTAGAGATAGGATAAGACCTTTGGGGGCAGGGTGCTGAGGAAAAGGGGTAAGTAAACAGGTTCGAAGACAAAAGAGATGCTGATAAGAAGAGACTGAGGGACAGGTCTAAATAGTCTGCCATTAACAGACACCAGGGAGACGTGAGCATGTGTTCATGCTTAAGGGAGGGGGCCAATCACGGCAGCAATAAGTTCCCAGAGGTGCTCATTTGGAAAGACAAGACAAGCATATATACACCGAAACTTATGAAGTCTCAAATGGGAATGTTTCATCATTTAGGTTGTATAAGTCTGAAAAAAGCAATATATAAATAGCACATAAAACCAAATTTTCACTAGGTACAGACTTCAGTTTTACACATGATCAAACTTAGTTTATTTTTTATTTTATTTTTGTGGAGTGTTGTAGTTGTCAATATACAGGGGTGGGCAAACATAGACTTACAATTGTATGTGAAACAGCGTTTATTCTTATATTATTATTTAATTGTTAATTATTGTATTATTTATTATTATTAACCTACTTTTGCCCACCCCTGTAGTGTTTATAAATGCCATCTAAGGAATGATTCTGTCATACCTATGACCTAAGTTGGTGATGGTTTACAAGTATACAAGAATTCTATGAAGATCTTAAAGATGTTCTTTGCATTTCAAAAGGACCAAATGATCTCTCATGATGATTAATATGTACAAGTTCTTTATTTAATCACTCTAGTCCCCCAGCATCTACCCATGTCTCCCACTCCCATCCAAATACACGTAGGTACTCTAATGAAAAAGCTATTCCTTTTGACATTTTCCCATCAGGCACACAAATTCCCACATGAGCAGCCTATAGGGCCCAGTCTAGTTGGTGATGATGATGACGATGATGATGGACCATGTCTTACCTCTGCATCTGCCTGTGGCATCAGCGTAGTATCCACCAGGGCATTCAGAAATGCACCTGCCCTCATGCAACACTGCCTTCTCAGTACAGGTAAGACATCGGGGACTATTGGGGCCACAACTTTTACAGGATTGGTCACAAGCTAAGAGAGAGGAAAACCCATCAGAGAAAGTCAATAGTGAGCCAAGGGAGCGGGGAAGTCTATTCATTACAATGTCCACAGTTGGTATCGACAAAGTAATCTCGTTCTCTGGCTGCTCAACTGAGTTCTGTTTCCTTGATGCCAATATTTCAAAGGACTCTGCACTTTCTGTTTTCACAGTTGAAGAACCAAAGAATTATTCATTGCACGAAGCATAACAAATACTCTGAAGCATTCCGCTCCCCCACCCCTAGTGTATCAAATTTAATATAAGATTTAAAGTTAAAATGGCCTTGGAGGTAGAGTTGCCAGATTTAGCAAATAAAAATATGAGATGCCCAGTTAAATTTGAATTTCAGATAAATAATGAATTATTATTTAGTTTAGCTTTGTCCCAAATATTTCATCCTTCATCTGGCAACCCCAGTTGGAGAGAGAATTCAGAAACTCAGAGTTCTTCTAAGCAAGGTCATGATACACAAATGTTAAGCAGGGTCACTTATTCACCCATTTAGCCCCCAAAACATTTCTTATGCTCTGTGTCAGGTACTGCTTCAGGTGGTAGACACACAAAAATCAAATCAACTTGGTCTTTGCTTTAAGGGGCTTATGAGTCTAATAGAGAGAGACAGACATGCAACATGAGAAATACTATAGCTGTCACTCAGATCAGTTTACATAAGAACAAGGAAAATTCCAAAAACAATGTGTGTGATATAGAAGATACGAAAGGTCAAGTAAGAAAGGATTCATATACGAGCAACCCTTGAACACTGTCTTGGGAAGCATTCCCAGCATAAGCAGCGAGGCAAGGAAAGGTCCAGGGTCTGGCAAAAGCTTGGGCTGCCCAGGGAAAGTACAGCTCCAATCAGCTGGAAAAGTGGACAGGGCCAGATTATATAAGCCCGTACGCCAGACTCTAAGGTCTAGATTCTCGGCCTGTGAAAGGAAGGCAGCGGGAGCCCCTGCCAAGTCTCAATCACAACAGAAACATCGCCATGTTGGGTACAAGAAAGGCTACTTGGCTTCAGTTTGGAGTGTAATTTGGAGAGGCGAAGACGGAGAGTTGGGGGTCTAGCTGGAAGACCATGGCAGTGCCCACAGAACAAGACGATCAGGGGTTGAATCAAGGCTGTGGAGAAGATGACAGATTTAAGGCCTGTGTAGGAGAAAGTGTCTCAGATGGATTCCAGGCATATAGCTTGGGGGGTGGGACATGCCACCCACAGAATGCAAGGAGAGGAGGTGTGGGGGATTCTAATGGGCTCAGTTTTGACAGGCGCGGTCCAGTAAACAGCCCGATTGACAGTTCTCGAGCTCAGGAGGGAGGCCTGGGGATCATCACACGTAAGTGGTTGTTGAGATCAGAAATTAGTTGATTTTTTCAGAAAAAAGCATGAAAGGTAAGGCAGAAGTACTCAAGGATCCGAGAGCACCAACATTTAATGAAAAATGAAAAAACTAGCAAAGGTGACCAAGAAGAAATGATACAAAGGTAGAAGAGAAAACAGGAGAGTGGAGGCTGAGCAGCTGAGGGGGGAAAAGTTTCAAGAAGGGAGTGAGCAAGAGCGCAGAAAGGACGAACAAAGCCTGGACATGGCTCACTGCACCTAGACTGAGGTACGGGGGACCTGCACCGCAGCGGTCGGCGCGGAGCCGTGGGATGAGCGTGAGGCCAGGGTTGTTAACTGTCCCCTGGAGGCCCTGGCTGAGAACGGACAGGGACAGAGAGGAATGATTAAAAGGGGAAGAGGCTGTTTTGTCTCTCCCAAATTGTAAAATCTCAAGGCCAGTACAGACCCAAGGAAAGGTTTTTAAAAAGAGAAGAACTTAAATAATTGTTCAAAGAATACTTAGGAGAACAAGGGAACGTACTTTCAAAAGTACAGAAGGAAAGATTAGCCTTGGACAGAGCAGAGGGGGCCTCCTGCCCTGAGAGGGGCGGCGAAGGCAGCTGCAGGTAAGTCTGCGACTCCATCTACTCTATTGCCCGTTGGCTAAATGCTTTAAAAACAAACAAAACAAACCTTCTGGCTGTCAGAGAATCGATGCTGAGATCTATTCTCTGTTCTCTTTATCCACCTACACCATGCTAACCTCCTGAAAAACATCTTAAGAACTTGGGAAAAAAGATGCAAGTGACAGGGCCAAATGTTCCATCCTGCATCCCGGAAGATTCAGCATCTCTCTAGAAGCAAACGTTTAAGGCAAGGCAATATCAGGAAAAGGTCAAAGGCTATGATCTCTACAGCAGAGAAAAGGAAAATCATTCCCTCAACTCATAACTGGAACAAAAAAGCAAAAATAAATCTGAAAAGCATCTTTCCTCTCACCCTCCATAAAAACTTCCAAAGTTTCTAATTCTAGAACTGGCATCTCAACAGAACCGAACAATCTTTAAGCTAAGCGGATTCCCCAGAAACAAAGAGTAACAGAAAAATTTTTTAAATTTAGAATTGACCAACAATAAAAAACATTATAAACAAAACATTTTTAAGACACACCTGACGTAATACTTAGAGTATAATTTGTAAATTTAAATAAGATTATTAGGAAGAGGTCATTTCTTTCCAAACTAGTCTATAATTTCAATATAGTATTAACAAAAATTCCAGTTGTATTTTATTAGGAATTTAATAAACATATTCTAAAGTCCATGAATAACTAAGTCAACTTTGAAAAGGAAGAGGAAAGAAAGGGAAAATTTACCCCATCAGATACTGAGACATACTGCAAAGCAATAGAAATTAATGAAAACATAAAACAAAAAAGTGAGATAGGGTATAAGGGCAGAAATTTAGGCTACTGGAATAGCTCAGAGACAGACCTATGTGCACACAGAAATTTAATATACAATAAAGATCATTGGGGAAGCTTAGATTGAATTACCAGATGATCTTGGGAAAACTGGATCATGAAGTGAAGAAAAATAAAACTGAATCCCTACTTAAACCCACATCCGTAAGTGGGCACCAGATGGTTCAACAGCCTAACTTAAGATAAAACTGTCAGGTTAATAGAAGAAAATGTAGAATAATTTCTTTGTGAACTTGAGCAGAAAAAAAGAATTCAAGTTCAAAATGAGCAGAATTCTTTTTAAAAATTCAAAATCAAAACGTTAAAGTAAAAAATGATGAATTAAAATGTTCTGTTCAACAAAGGGCACCACAATAAAAGTTAAAAGGTAACAAAATTGGGAAATATTTGCATATTTGAGACTAACAAGGGTTAATACGTATAACATACAAAGAACTCCATAAAATCAACAATCAAAAGGCAGCAAGGCCAATAAAACAATGGGGGAAAACACATTAAAAAGCAATTTAGAGAAGAGCTGATACAAAAGTCCAAAAGGAGTTGAAGATATTTTCAAATTCATCAATAATCAGAAGGATTCATTAATAATCAAATGGGATGACCCTGCATACTTATTGACCAGAGGAAAATCTAAAACTTGATAAGGCTAAATGGTAGCAAGGATGTGGGAATGGGAGAGCCCTCGGGGTTTGGAGAGGAGACCTTGGTGAGCTACTTAGTCAAACAGATATGCAGAGTTAATAAGTAATAGTGTTAACAATAAAAATAAAGTATATTAAAACAAAAAACAAGAAAAAACAACAATTCTGTTCCCAGATTATTCCTCCCAGGGAACCTCCCACGGGGCTCATAAAAGGCCATGGTCACAGCTCTTTATTCGTGCTCTCTAGTGACAGTGACGGCACATGGGCGGGAGGAACTCGGGGACCTGCCACTGGGAGAGTGGATGCATGAGGACTACATGATTAGCAACATGGGTGAACCTTAAAACACAATGCTGAGAAAAAAAGAAGAGAGCATGGCCTCCATAACATGATATCATTAAGCACACATACACACACAGTTACCCTTGCTGGGGGTCAATCCCCCCCATGCAGTCAAAAATCTGCAGGTAACTTTTGACTCCCCAAAACGTAACCACCCTTAACTATCCTAAGTATCTGCGAGGAGCTGGTCCCAGCACCTCCACAGACGCCGAAGTCCGCAGATGCTCGCTTTCCCTGTGCACTGTGGTGTAGATCAGTGCGCACAGTGGGTCCTCCACACCTCGCCCACGACTGAAATCAGTACAGGTGCGTACTGAAAAAATCCGCATGTAAGCGGGCCCACACAGTTCCAACCTGTGTTGTTTGAGGGTCAGCTGTATTCACAATGACAATACCCAGTTTATATGAGCTCATAAAAGCAGAAAGATTAAAAAAGAATAATCTGGTGAAAAAGGAACATGAGGGTAAAAGGAAGGAGGAAAAAGCAGAGAAAAGGAGAGAATGGTTAACAGAAACCCATGAACTTGCTTTGATTTGTTAGCTAGACTCAGGAAAGCCTTCCTAACGGCACAAGTACTTAAAGAACTGAAGAATCCTGAGGAGCTCTGTCCTTTCAATTTCCCCACCCTTTATATCTAATATTTGTAAAAACTCAAAGCATGTACCACAGATGAGTGTGGTTACTGTAAATTCTTTCAACCAGGGCATACCACCGTTTATAACAGGTTATTCTGGATTTTTTTCCCCCAGCACTTGACCTTGAGATTTCTACAGATATGAGCTGCTTGGTTATAAATTATTAAACCAACACCAGCCGGTCTTTATCTTGAATAGCACTAATCTGAATTGGAAATGAGTCAGCTTTATCAGCATCAGACGTCTTAATTAACATTCCGATACCAATCAGTGACTTGGTTCACCGCTGTTTAGGAAATATTATTTGAACATTTCTGAAGGCACTTGATAAAAGCTTAGAGAACTCTTAACAATTTTATGAAAAGTGTAAACTCCAATCTTGTCTGTCAAAAGGCACATTGGTCAATGCCAGTGGGGTCATGGCGTCTAGCACTGTGCTAAGCAACAGGGCGGGCATTCAGTAATTACCTGTTGGTCAACTGATTGGTTGGCTGACTGTCAGCAATAGTCTGTCCTTCTGTTTGTAAGTTTTCTGTCTGATACTTTGTTTCAAAATGTATACAGATAGTATTTCAGATGTATGCTCTCTCTAGAAGCAGTGTTCTCTTTTTCTTTCATCTTTATTGTGGAGAACATTACAGATGTCCCTCCTTTATTTCCCCCATTGCCCCCCTCCACCCATTTCCCACCCCGCCCCAGGTCTTCACCACCCTATTGTCTGTCCCCAAGGAGCTCCAGCTTCTTTCATTCAACTTCTGAGCCCGGGTATTTTCCCACCCCCCACTGTCTGTCTCCAGGCTCACACTAACCGTCTCTCCTTTTAAACGCATGCTTCCCCAGCAAAAGTCGCTCCCTCAACCCAGGTAATGCCTTCTCAGTAGCAGGTTAGTGTCACCTCCTTGTCAGTGACGGTAGACAGCCTCCTTGGGGATTTAATGAGTAAATACCTCTAGGCCTTTGGATTCGTGCAAATTTGACATCTGCTGACCTTTAGAGAATACATCTGGCTTAACGGAGCAGGAAAGTGATGCTGGCAGAAAAGATGAAAATGCTCAGACTAATGTCAGCCTGGCCTTTCCTTCCTTGTTCTCTCCCAAGTCCACACACTAGCCACCAGTGACCCCTCCAAATCAAGAGAGATTTTTCACACCAGCGACGCTGATGAACGTCTGCACAGCTTTGAGCAAGCGGCTGCTAAGAGCTACCTTTCCTCCCTAAGGCAAGTGGAGTTGTCAGCTCCCAAAGATCATCTCTGTCGCCACTGCCCTTTCTACTGGTGCGACCACCGCAGGAAGTCACTCACTCACTGTCAGGGGGCTACCTACAGACTGGACAACATCTACAGTGGCAGGGGAAGGATCTAAAGACTGACACGAGGACAGGAGGAAGGGAGAGAAGACAGAGGCGAGAGGAAAATGGAAAAAGAAGAGGGAGAAACAGGCAAAGGTGCTCGCGGGGATCACATTATCGTGAGCGGGAGATAAGAGGCGGTGAAGATTTAGGGCCCGAGACCAAGGCTCTGCCCAGCTCTATCCCTTACTAGCTATGCGATCTTGGGCAAGGATTTTCTTCATCAGGAAAATGAGAGTGATGACAGTAACTATCGTATAAAATTGTTGTGAGGATTAAACGCCAAACGCTTACAGAGCACTTACTCTGTGAGGGGAACTGCGCTAAATGTCTTGCTTATATTCACTCATCCCTCTCAGCAGCCTTCTGAGGTGGGCGTGTATTAATTTCCCATTGCTGCTGTAACAAATTACCACAAACTCAGTGGTTTAAAACAGCACAAATCTATTACCGCTCTAGAGGTCAGGAGTCCTAAGATCAAGGTGTTCGCAGAGCTGCATTCCTTCTCGAAGCTCTCGGGGATGACCCATTTCCTTGCCTTTTTCCAAGTTCTAGGGGCCGCCTGCAAGCTCATGGGCCCCTCCTGGCATCACTCTGAACTCTGCTTCCATCTCAGATCTTTTCTGACTCCCACCTTCGAGCCTCCCTCCTACAAGGACCCTTGTGATGACACTGCCCAGTGGGTCATCCGGGATAACCGCCCATCTCAAGACCCTTAACTTAGTTATAACTCCCAAACCCCTGTTGCCATTTAAGGTGGCATAATCACAAGTAACGGCGATTAGGATGCAGGCATCTTTGAGGAGCCATTATTCTGTCTCCCACAGGGGCTGTGTTATCCCCATCTTACAAATGGGGAACTGACAGGTGGACAGATTGAGTAACTTGCCCAAGGTCATGCTTTTCCCACAGTACTTTCCTGCTTCTCGATGGGTGCATGTTTATAACGCACTTGGAGCAGTGCCTGGCACAGGACTCGGGGGGCTGGGTTAATTCCTAATGCTATGCAGTCGGTGTTAGAGGCAGAATAGACAAGAACGGCTTCAGCTTTAAGTCAGTGGCATCAAAAACAAAGGTGGGCCTGCCCTTGGCTGGGCTAAACGTGTCTCCATGCGTATTTGGGAGGCAGTCTGCAGTGGATGGAGAGTTTTGGGATTTGGAGAAGGGAAGCCTGCTCCTGTCCCTATAGCTGTGGGTATAGAGCAAGCAGCCCAGGCCTCACTGTCTTTATCTGCAGAACAAGTTATGGGGGGGTGGAAGAATATATTAAAGGGGGTCCACCCCAAGTGAAAAACACATGTTCTGTAAACTATTAAAACACCAGCAATGTCAGCAGCCATTTGCCTACTCGTTGAGTAAAAGAGACATTGGTTATTGGTGCTCTGATCTGAATTAAGCCTGGGGTGCTGGAAGACGAAATGATGCTATGACATGCAAAGTCTGGCACCTACCGCTGCAGGTCCCCTGCTTGTTGTAAAACCCGTCGCCGCAGCTGCTCTCACAGCCGCCCTCTCTCAGCACTTGGAGGGGGTCCCTGCAGGCCAGGCAGTGCTTCTCCATGGGACCCCAGCAGGCCGCGCAGGACTCGTGGCAGGCTGCAGGCAAACAGCAAAGTCAGTGAAAAAGCTACAGCAGAAAGGACTGGTCAGATCTTTCTAAAAAGTTATGAAATTTATAAGGAGGATATTGGTTCCTTCATCCTTAAACCACCATGCACATATGTACACCCCAGGAGAACACCCTCTCCCCTCAAAAAATTATTTCTGTTGGCTAGAAGTATAATTTCAGTAATTATTGCAGGAAAAAAAAAAAAAAAATTGGAATAGGAAATCAGGAGCTTTTGAAAACTGAAAATCAGAGGGACGGAAACCATAACGTTCTCTATGAAGATGGTATGTCTAATGAGGTCAGATGGGGCTCCATCACATCGCCTTTGCAACCACAGCGCAGTGTCAACAAGGTAACACTCCTGTCTCCAGCACCATCGAGAATCAGCTAAGGAAGGAAGCCATGTCCTTGATTAGACCTCGAAGGACCTGGTACTGCTTGACTGTGTTGCATTTTCCCTCCCTTTTCATCTCCCTCCTCTCCCTCCCTCACCGTACATATGCCCCTCTGCCCTCCCTCACAACTCTCAACCTCCCTCAGTCTCTGGTTACCCCCAGTAACATCTGCTCTCAACATGCATCTTGAGGACCCACAGAGCCTGCCTTTCCCTTACACTTTAGGCCTCTAACAGTATGTTGTCCCTAGACCAGTGCTGTTCCTTTGACTCCAAAATTCCCACCTCCTCCGGCATTTAGTTTTTTATTACCTTTCTGGCTTGCTCTTCACCTTAGAGAGGCCTATTCTGAGTGACGGAGTATGTTCAGACTTAACTCCCTGTATGGCTAAGCCCACCTTTGCTTTTGTTAATGCACCCTAATTTTCCAAAGGTTTGCTTCACAATGGAACACAACCTGTTTTGCGACATCCTCAATCTGACGGAAACTGGTAGGAAGAATGCCTTAGCTGATTACAAGTGACTTGGGGATTTCACTGAAGTAATTTAATTAGCATCCCTTTGGAATCAAAAGAAAGGACACCTACATTGCAAATCTCAAGATCCAGTCCTCCCCTCTCTATTCTAAACTGCCCAGGAAAGCCCAATTTCAGACAACTTTTCTCACCAATGAATTTAGGAGAAATTACAAATTGTGGTAAGTGCTAGGAGGACTCTGATAAAGAATAACTGAGGTGAGCATGGAAAGGACCGGCTTTGGGTAGATCCAAGGATGAGGCAAGGCAGAGGCCAGATCAAACTTTACCTTGGAGACCATGGGAAAAAATTAGGATTTTATCCTAATTGCACTGTGAAGTCATGAACAGGCTTAAGCAGGAAAGACACAGGCCCTGATTTAGATTTTTAAACGCTCTCTCTGGCTGCCATGTATAGCGGGGTTAAGGATTTGCATGCAGGTAGGGAGACCAGTGTGGAGTCTATGCTGTGGTCCAGGTAAGAGATAACCATGGCGGGTGGGAAGCAGAAATGGAGGAAAGTTTATTTATTGTCTAGCGTCGTCATGAGACCACAGGCTTCATGAGCGCAAAACCCAATTCTAGTTTTCAAGCATACTGTTTGGTGCTCTACAAACATCTCTTGAGTGCCTCCGTTTATTTATATTTAACACTTCTTTTCTATTTTATAAGTGGTACACAAGAATACTGTTCACATTAGGATAACCTACTAACACTACATTATAACTAAAGATGTGGATGCAAAGGTTCCAGTAACAAATTCTACCCTCAGCACATGAAATCTGTCATTACTTATTCAACTACCCTTCAATGATGGACTACAGTCATCGTCTGAAGTGTCTAACACTGTTCACGCCTCTGTCTCGCTGACTAGGGAGTTGATATAAAGTTTGTTACCTAGACAAGTAAACAACAAAAAAAGCCCAATCTCATGTCTAAGAAGGTCTGGCAGGTCCACCTGTCTCCCAGTGCTCAGAAGCACCTGCCCTACGCAAGGCGCTGAGCCAGCCCGTGGGGCCTTCCCAGGGCCGCAGGTGAGCCCCGGGACCCGACGCCTACAGAGCAAGCGGTTAAACCACCCGACTTGAGTGCACTGTACTGGGGCAGGGGGCAGACTGCTCGGGGTGCATGTGCCCCAGAGGGTGATGGGAATTGAGGCCAACAAGACAATGGGGCCAGGCAGGCCGGGGTGGCTGGAGGCAGAAGGCAGCCAGCCAATGACACTCATCGTTTATGTTTCTCTCTCTCTCTCTCTCTCCCTCCCTCCCTCTCTCTGAAATCAATAAAAATATATTTATAAAAAAAAAAAAAAGCCAATAGGGGCCAGATCACAAGTGTCCAGCAGGACTGGGTAAGGACCTTGAACTTCCTCCTGTAAGCGATTTACTCAGGGCAGTGGAAGGGAGCAGCTTTGCTTTCCAGACAGTTTGCTCTGCAGTGGGGAGAGGAGAGGGTGATGAAGACATCTGTAAGGGATGAAATCATCTTAGTCCAGGGAGTGAAGCGGAGAGGAGAAAGCACTAGCTCTCTTCGATGGCTGGCTAGTGGCAGTGCAGATACTCAGCTGCACTGGCTGTTAAAATAGTAAAAATAATTCCAAACTGGTTGGTAAACGGCCTCTGTCCTGCCCCCTCCATGACACTCTGGCTTCATACCTGGGAACTTGGCAGGCACCATGCTTCAGTGACCAAAAGGTCCAGCACAGCTGAGGGTCTCGGGTTCTCCTTCCTTCGGACTGATCGGATTTCTGCCATACTGTTTGTTAAATATTTTTAATATTACCCGTGGTGTTGCCAATCAGAACAGAGGCCAAAGGATGAGCAGAACAGAGGTTACAAACTTAGTGTAAGTCTATAGATTTAGACTAATATCTAAGATAGAGGCTACAGACTCAGGCCCATCACACTGAGCCCGACTTAACTCTTCATACCTGCCTTCTGCAGCCTCCCTCCTGCTCGCCAACTCCATGAAACTGGGTACCCTAAGCATGCTGTGCACCTTTTTGTGGGTTCTGGGTGTTCCACACGAGATTCACCCAGCCCCCGGAATCGTGTTTACACTTCAGACGCCTCCTCAGTTGTCACTACTTCTGTGAAGCTTTGCTGAACTTCTCCAAACAAAGCTGGTCGCTCCTTCCTTTATGCTCCTGCAGCACGTTGCACATGCCTCTCTGGTACTATTTATCCTACTGTACTTGCTCTTCAGCTGCAGATTGATTCTCTGACATGGAATGTAATATCCTCCAAAATAGGGGCCAAGTTTCAGTCATCTTCACCCCAGTGTCCAGACTGATGCCTGATGCAGTCAGGACTCATTAAACGTATGCTAAATGAATTAATTAATGGCCTTTCTTTTAATTGGCTATGGGGACTTCATCCCATGAATTACCTTCTACATAGTAACATCCACACGGTGAGTTGTAACCATAAGGTCATAGTCTGAAGATATGATACCTTAAGACAGATAAACTTGAGGCTATAAAATTTACCTGATAAGTGCCAGAGTCCAGATCTGCTTATGATGACAAATACGTATACTGTATTCATACAGAGTAACCAAATGTGGCCTGACCAGCATCAATCTATGATCCAGGAGATCATGGTTCGATTTCCAGTCAGGGCACATGCCTGGGTTGTGGGCTCCATTCCCAGTGAGGGGCGTGCAAGAGGCAGCCGATCAATGACTCTCATTATTGATGTTTCTCTCTCTCTCCTTCTCCCTTCCTCTCTCTGAAATCAATAAAGACACATTAAAAAAAAATGTGATGCTGGCCTTCTCCTTTTGCCATATCAGACAAAAGCCATGTTCCATGGCCAGATAGAATAGCAGAAGGGATTTTTATTTCTACCCAGAACTATGCTGAGCTGTCATTTCTTTTCTTTTTTTCCCCAGCTGTCATTTCTTATGACATACTCCTACTGTGTTCTGCAATTGATTTCTAGTTTCTAACTGAACATATGCTACTGCAGATAATCTCTTCTTGCAGCCTTATTTTATATGTAGCTTTTACTACATTGGGATTATTACGAAAAATAAAAGGTCACTCCCTGACTTTTCACCATAATTTCTCTTTGCGATACATTTCAGATCACCCAGGGTCTGAATTATACATTGTGAAAATTGTGGCAATAAATTTTAAAAGAGGAAGACTAAGGGAGAGCTATCTTCTTATCTCACATGTAGTTGGTAATTTATTTGGGAAAGCCCCTGCCTCTTCTGGAGCCTAACAAGACATGTGCTGGCTTGCTGAGCAACTCATTCAAAACGAAAAGGAACAAATTACTTTTCTTTTGGCAACTGTATATTAAAACCCTGCTCTCAAAATAAGAAACTTGTTTTGTACTTGATAATTTTGTAATAGAAGATTGCTTTAAAAGCTTTTTTAGCCTGTGCTCCTCTAAGAATAAAATGCAGCCCTCCCAGGGAAATGTTAAAACTCGTACTTCCTACAGGCCGCTTATGTCCCAGGAAGCCTTCCTAGACCCAGGCAGTGGACACAGAGAGCCACGGGCAGTGGGCACAGAGAGCCACGGACAGTGGGCACAGAGAGCCACGGGCAGTGGGTACAGAGAGCCACGGCAGCTGAGACTGCCCCAGGAGGAGGGGCCCAGCTCCCCCTCTCCCAGGGTCTCCCAGGCAAGCTTCCCTGCCATTACCAGGGAACCAGCACACTTGGTCAGCAGCCCCTTGCAGTCATCAGTGAGGCTGCTGCTCAGATTTCCAAACTGCCAAGAAGTTTCTACTCCATAGAAACAGCCACAAGTCCAGGCACAGGCAGGTATGGCAGACGCAGGTCGAGTCCCTTCATTCTGTTCCGTACCCATTTTGTGGCAACTGCTTACTTTCCTTCTCATCTTGTAAATAACCAGAAGCACTTGCCAAGTTTTAGTGGGTCTGTTTCCAATATGAAGCTCTTGTTGATGGAAAATGTTTCTACCTGAAACTCAAACTTCACTGTTCCTTGCTTTCCCAATCTGCAAAGTGGAAACGGTATTACAGCTGACCCTGGAACAATGCGGGGCTTAGGGGAACCAACCTCCGTGAAATTAAAAATCTGCGTATAACTTTTGACTCCCCC